AACACCTGTGGGATTAACGCTGGTGGCGGGAATGCGTACGCGTTGAGTCCTTCCCACGATATGCTTAGTGCGTCCGTTGCCCATGCTAGTGGGTCTGGGACTGGTGATACGAATGTTGTCAGCTGATTGTTGAAGCGAGTGGCAAATAGGTCTATTAGTGGAGCTCCTATTTTCTTGATAATTTGTGCGAATATCTCTGTATGGAGCATCCATTCTGTCGGCGATGGTAGGTGTGGCCGAGAGAGAGCGTCTGCTATTACATTCTTTGCTCCTGGAATGTGACATGCTCTGACATGTATGTTGAGATTGTCGATTAGATCGAACAATTGAAAACATAGAGTCAATAGGTTCGGGGACCTGGTTGAGCCTTGTTTGTTCACATAAAACGCCACTGTTGAATTGTCTGTGTGAATCATCAATTGGGCATTCTTTAGTAAGTTGCTCCAATGATGTATGGCGTTTACTACTGCTTGCATTTCTAGCAAGTTTATGTGTAGTTTGCTCTCTTGTTCGGCTCCATAACCCTGATGCCGTCCTGTTGGCGAGGTGTGCTCCCCAACCTTGGAGCGACGCGTCTACATAGAGATGTGTTTTCAATTCCGGCTCTATTAAAGAGATTCCATCGCAAACATTCGATCTCTTGGTCCACCATAGTAGGTGAGGTTTGACGTGATTCGGTAGACTGAATGGTTGAGGGTCGTCGAGATGAGAGTTGATGAGGACCTGTAACGAACGTAACTGTAGTCTGCCTCTGACTGTCATGTCTTGAGCTGACGTGAGTAGACCCAACAGGCTCTGCCATTGTTGTAGTGGTACCGGAGAGAGTAAGGCTTGAGGGATTGTCTGTTGGATCTTGATCCATCGGTCCTCCGGTACGACGATACGATTCTGCGCCGTGAGAAATCAAATGCCTAGAAATTGCAGATCTTGTGTAGGTTCTAGGTCCGACTTGAGTAGATTTACTAACCATCCTAGCTGTGTTAGTAGCTTAATGATGAAGTTTAACTGTAGTCTGAGACGTTGTGGATCTGGATCCACTTGTATCCCGTCGTCGAGATAGAACGCACTGCGTAGTTCTTGACGATGTAGGTAAGAGACGATAGGTTTCGTCACTCTTGTGAATAACCAGGGGGCCGATGAGATTCCGGAAGGTAGTACTTTCCATTGGTAATGCAGCCCGTCTAGTGTAAACCGAAGGTATTTCCTGGAGTCGGGATGTATTGGATGTGTAGATATGCGTCTTGCAGATCTATGCTGGCCATGTAGTCTCTGGGACGAATTAAGTGCCGTAGTTGTGGTAAGTGTATCATGCGAAACGCTGGCGGTTTGCGTAGATAGTCTCTGTTGATGGTGCTCATATTGTAGATGAGACGAAACTTTTCCTTGGAATTTTTCTTGGGCACTAGGAAAACTGGGGAGTAGAAGCCTGGTTTGATGTTTACTTGGTCTAGTACTTCTATGGCCTGCTTGGTTAGGAGCGTTGATACCGCTTCTCTTAACTTTGGTAGTTGTAGAGCCTGGAAGTCGAACCTCGGAGGGACGACTGTCAGCGGGGGCGTGGCCTGTAGTTGTATTCGATATCCGTGCTGTAGGATGTTGGAGACATATGGATCCTCTAGGAATCCCCAGTTTTCCCAGTGCAGTTGAAGGCGTCCACCCACTTGTGATGGTTGTACTGGAACGGCTGGGGGTGGAAGACTCCAGTCGTTCCGAACCTGTCCTTCATCGTTTATAGTTGCGGAAGCCTCTGGATGACCGGCCTCTTCCAGATCCTCCCCTGTAATTGCCGTAAGGGCAGCGAAAAGACTCTTTTGCTCCTCTTACACTTGCCATCTTCCTGTCCCGTGCTTTCTGTAGACCAGAGAACTTCGATTTGCCTGAGTACCTCTGCGAAGTTTGTCTGATGACGCTTGCTAGCGTATCCATAGACTTTATCATGAGTACCTCTCTTGAGTCTTTAGAGACTTCTTTAGAGACTTTGTCTATGTTTCCATCGAAGATTGACGGTGATGACCACGGGGCTGTGTTGAGTGATGCGGTGAAGTTATCACCCCAATTACAGGAGGCGAGGAGACCTTGACGACGAGCCATAGTTATAGCTGCGGATAGTACTGTCAAGTGATCCGTTAGGAACTGCTGGTCCTTCTTCTGCATGAGGAGGGCCGAGTAAATCATCCTGTCGTCCTCAGATGTAGAGTCTCTGAACTTCGTGAGGAGAGTTTCGTTAACTGTTCTTGACCTGTTCTCACCAAAGAACATCCTCCTTGCCATGGTTTCCATCTGAAAAAGCTTGCGGTTATCTATTCTGTAAGTCTTGGACTTGGCATCGCTGATCATCTTATAGTTATCATCGATATCTTGTGCCTTGTAAAAAGGGTCCATGTTGTGACCTGCAAACTTGTTAGCGTTGAAATGCGGCACATGTGGTGTCTGTGATTTCGTGGCTTTACTAAAGGCTGTATCCAGATTAGCTGGCACCGCTGCTATCGGGTCAATCGGAGGTAAGGTGATTGTGTCAGCATCATCTTCCTTTATAAGATATGTGTGGGCTGAGTTCTCGTTCTTAGACGGGGAGGATAGTTCCAGACTATTCACCATCCAATATCTGATTTCTGCGTCGGAAAATACGATACCATCTTCATCTTCAGACATCGGGTCACAGATAATGTGTTGATGCTCCTCCGATAGTGACTGAGGTGGAGTCCTTGATGATCTGTACGTGGATCGACAAGGTGATCGATGAAGTGATCGATATGGAGATCGGCGAGCAGAATGACGTGGTGAACGGACTGACGAGTGGCGTCTATAAGGTGACCTTCGCGGAGACGTCCTTGGCGAATGCTGGTAGCTTCGCGAAGCTCTCTGTGAATCCCTTGATGATCTTCTAGATGAGGATGACTTGGAGCCACTTAACCTTCGTGAAGGTTGAGAGTCTGAGTCGGAGTCATGGGATGAGAGGATCCTGCTTCGCGAACGTCCTCTCTCATCAAGGTCCGAGGTAGGTGATATAGTCGTCCTCCGTGAAGCCTTCCGTGAATGCTGAGGATCAGGGTCCTTCATGGAGGCGGGCTGGGTCGCCCTTCGCGGAGGCTTGGAGGCGGGCTGGGTCGCCCTTCGTGGAGGCGCGTAAGCGGGCTGGGTCGCCCTACGCGGAGACGTGCAAGCGGGCTGGGTCGCCCTACACGGAGGTATGGGGGTGGGCTGGGTCGCCCTTGGCTCTATAGGCCTCTGTAGACCGTAGCGATCTTCCATCAACTTCATAATGTGGTTCATCAGGTCGTCTGGGACGGTCTGCCCTGAAGTAGTTGCTGCCTTATCTACGATTGTAGCGACGGGACCCTCAGGTAGATTCTCTGACATCAGTGTAGGTGCCTCAGACTGCGTGCTGATCTGCGCTGATGTTATAGTTGCCGACACTGGCCGCTTCTTCCGCCGTAAGTCTGGTATGATGATCGGTTGATCATCATCATACAGGCCCAACTCTGCAACTGGAACAATCTCGGCTGAGAAAGTACTGCTGGACTTCGTTGATTTCCCCTTAGACGTGGATGTAGCCCTGGGGGTGCGGAGTCTGCGTTGTGACGACGTGGAAGCCCTCCTAGTCTTTGGCTGCGACAACGGGATGTCCGGGGATGCAGGTCACTTCTTGGAGATAGCGGACTGCGTCCCACGCCTCTCCTCCGAGGGTAACTCTAGCGGAACACCAGACGGGAGGGGGTCATCCGACAGTAGTTGACAGGGTAAGGGCTGTGGTGTATTAGCCATGGCTAAAATCTGTTTACGTGACCTATCTGCTGCGCGTCTCAAGACGCAAAATAAATATTTATCAAAGGCAGAATTGGATAAATTAGTACAATAATTGCAACGTGAAACAGTAGAGCATGGCGTAGTACAACTAGGGCATATCAAATGCGGGTCAGCAGCAGAAAAACGTAATTTACAAATAGTGCAGATTTTCATCAACGCAATCTACTGAACAAACACGGAGTCCCGTGAATAAAACAGTAGAAACACGAATAAATATCAATGCATTATGTTGAAGGATACTAGCTACACCTCTATAGAAGTCTATGAGAGGTAAATAACTAAGAATAAACAAAGGATATAATGTGTAGGGAGACACAGGCGCTCTCACATCCTGCTCACTGGGCGAAGAAGGAGAGAGTGATACATGTGGGAAGAGGTGGTGCCCCCGTTCCCGCGCAAATGGCTAGGAGGGAGGCAACTCTTGGTGAGTACTAATTAGTGATTTTACATTGAAGGGAGCTTCAATTGGGAGATACAAGTGTTCCACTGTGTTCGCAAGAAGAAGAAGACAAGCAAAAGAGCATGAGTCAGGATAAGGAAAAATAATAATATTTATCAGTGAGGCAACATACCTTGGTCAACAGTATCTGGGAGTGGATGAGTGAAATGAAAGTTCCTTACTTAACAATATTCAAGCTTTTCACCTACGCCTGTAAATAATGAAGTCATGGCCAGAGGGAGCGGAGGCTGAAAGCATAGACACTGTTCCACACATCCTGGATACACAAGGCCAAGCTCAGTCAAGTCAAAGGCCATCTTGCCCGTTAAATTCTGGGTTCAAATTGATCTTAAGTAACCCATGCTTGTCGTAAGAGGCGACAAACGGGATCGGGTGGTCAGGCTCACTGACTTGGTTGACATGTCATTGTATCCCCGTTGCATAGAATGATGCCCATGATGTTGGTCACTGGATTGCATTGTCCAGACACGATTATTTAGAGACATCCGCCATACAGCTGGAATATTGCTGAGTGCGGTGTTAAACAACCAACCAACCAACTAAAGACCTTGTAGGGTCATAGACAAGCACGGCATAAGCATGAATTTCTCTCACTTTGGGGTCCCAGTTTGTGGCCGTTGTCAATACGATACTACCTGCACACTGAGACATGAATATACAATATATTCTATATGGGTATAGAATCTGGAATTTATACTCTGCTCATATACAATATCCAAATTTGGCATCATACCAATGCTATTTTGAAGAATCTTGTGATCTTTGGTCCAGCAATTCTCCTGAACTTTGCACTGTATTCCTTTCTGATCTTCCAGCCAAGGAAGAACTTGTGTATCACCGTGACTGCCCATAGGACCCGCTTCTCATGCTTCAGTTTAGCTAGCAGTTTCGAGCCTGCAGATAACATATGGTATAACACTCATCTCCATGGTAACAATAGATGGGAATACACAGACTGTTTAATATTCGCCATCATTCTGTAGCAGCGCATAAAATGCTCACATATGGACGAATCAGGACACATTAGATGTCACAACACATACATACATCAGTGCAAAGCATCAGTACATCAATGGAACATATTACATGACATCACATGGCATCACATGGCATAACAATCAGTAACACATAACAAACCACTTACCAATCTGAAGAGAGACAAAGGAAAGATATATAAATATATGCAAGTATGCTTTCAGAAGTAAACTATTTCAGAAACAGTATGTTGAGTCAAGTGATCAGATATTGAAAATACACAGAGACAGTATCTGAAAAACTGTTTTATATGTTCTGATGAACTTCAGCAACTTGGAAATCTCTGACACTAAACAGGGAAGCTGCAACATCGAAATCTTTGACATTAAACATAACTGCGACCAGGATATCCTTGATGTTAAATAGAGAAGCCGCCAAAACAAACATAATTCAAACACAGAACACAGGACATGCCCCTTGCCAAACATCTGCATGCACAATGATTCACATTACATGACGATTCACATTAAACGATTCACATTACAAGACGATTCACATCATAGGTGAGCTGCAGTAGCTTCTAAACACAACATAGGTGGTATGCATTGTGCCATGTGATACTCAAGAGACCCATTAAGTCCCTTGTTCAGTATGATTCATAATACACAAATAACAGATCCCTATAAAATAGTCATCTGAAATAACTTTACTTCATATTGAAATCAGATAAAAACTTATTATGACAAGAATATTGACAATGGACAGTGCATTAACACCCACCTCCCCAGAATATACAGGACAAGACATCAGTCATTATCAGAGATGTTTGCATTTATGAAACCAGTGTAACCTATGATACAAGTTTATATCTCCAGACAGAAAACAACATGCATTTGCCAGCAAACAACCTCTGAACACCAACATTCTATACGCCCACTGTAGAGTGATACATGAGGAAGATCAGTTAGAATACTCTACAAATATCTCCTGTACACATTCAGCTTAGAGAACAGACAAACAATTAGCATGTCACAGATAAGTCTGTTATCACCTGGACATGGTAAATGTTGGTGTAATGACGATGACTACACTAGTCTCATAAAGCCCCTGACTCACTGGAAGTGGGTGTTACATACTACAGAGCAATGTACCATATCAATTACAATTTAATTAGTTAAATAACTGAAGGATCTGATGTGAGTTAGATAGCAGAGTAAACGTTATAAGCACTATCTGCTGGAATGCATGCAGCGTTACCATGTTACATTACCTCCACAATGAACAAGTCAGTTAGTTAGTGCTGACATGACATTCACTAAGTTGTATTTACTGAACAATGAACTAATCACCTAGTTAGTGCTGTGGTACCATGAACAGGGTGCATTCCCACTACATTAAACTAGTAAACTAGCCAGTGCTGTGTTAATATGAACATGTAGCATTCCCTCTACAATGAACTAGTCAACTAGCGCTATGTTATCATGATCAACAGTGCATTCCCTCTACAATGAACTAGTCAACTAGCCAATTGCATGCCGTGTTTCACACCTGCCATCCTCTAAATGTCTTTTGGATCACAATTGATGACAACAAACATTTTCGTTCATGTTTGAGTTTCGCCAATAACCGTCGGGCCTGTAAAATAAAGAGCACAAAGGATGATTCTACGTGCAAATAAAACTGTAACATTTCACTATGTCTACACCATAATAGGTTAATTGTGAGACAGTAAAACATCATCACATGTTCTTGAGACAGTGAATACTACCAGCGCTACTACCAGCGTGTGTATACAGTGAATACCATGTACTATTAATGTCCCAGTAGTGTATACAGATGGATATCACATCTACCATGTACTATTAATGTCCCAGTGGTAGTGTATACAGCCGGATATCACATCTACCATGTACTATCAATGTCCCAGTGCTAGTGTATACAGCCGGATATCACATCTACCATGTACTATCAATGTCCCAGAGCTAGTGTATACAGTTGGATATCACATCTGCCATGTACTATCAATGTCCCAGCGCTAGTGTACACAGATGGATATCACATCTACCATGTACTATCAATGTCCCAGTGGTAGTGTATAGAGATGGATATCACATCTACCATGTACTATCAATGTCCCAGCGCTAGTGTATACAGATGGATATCACATCTACCATGTACTATCAATGTCCCAGTGCTAGTGTATACAGATGGATATCACATCTACCATGTACTATCAATGTCCCAGCGCTAGTGTATACAGATGGATATCACATCTACCATGTACTATCAATGTCCCAGCGCTAGTGTATACAGATGGATATCACATCTACCATGTGCTATCAATGTCCCAGTGCTAGTGTATACAGATGGATCTCACATCTACCATGTACTATCAATGTCCCAGCTCTAGTGTATACAGACTGATATCACATCTACCATGTACTATCAATGTCCCAGCGCTAGTGTATAGAGATGGATATCACATCTACCATGTACTATCAATGTCCCAGTGGTAGTGTATACAGACGGATATCACATCTACCATGTACTATCAATGTCCCAGTGCTAGTGTACACAGACTGATATCACATCTACCATGTACTATCAATGTCCCAGCACTACTGTATAGAGATGGATATCACATCTACCATGTACTATCAATTACTACCTTTCCAGACGTATAGTGCTTCATATAAAAATGTCTGATGTCGCAACACATAACATCTGTTTGAGAAATATTCTGGTCAATATTATGGGCTCACTCTTACAATTAACCTATTATGGTTGTTAGATATAAACCAGTGCTCCAGACAAAACACAAAGTTTGACATGAGGCGATGACAGGTTACAACTGATGAAGATGAGGTTGTTAAGTAGGAACAAAACGCATGCTTGACAACAGTGAATCACACCTGCCAGCCTTTGTAAGTCTTTTGGATGACGATTGACGCTAACAAGCGTCGGCGCTCATGTTTGAGCTTCCGCAATAATCTTCGGGCCTGGAAGCAAGAATATGGAGACAAAAGAGTTACAAGGGACTTCATCAAGTTCACCCCTTGACAGGAGGAGAAAACATTAAGCCCCTTTCCTCATCCAGTGAAGAGAGAACAATTACCCAGCAACCCCTAGCTCATAAGGGAGGAAACACAATAAGCTTGCTTTCATTCAAGAAAAATAGAGTCGAAGACCTGTCAGTCTGATGCTAGTAACATGTTACATACCGAGTGCCAGAAGGTACCATGTTCCATATTGTCTGCCAGCATGTACAGTGTTTAACATTGTCTGTAAGCAGATACAGTGTTTCACATTGTCTGCAAGCAGATACAGTGTTTCACATTGTCTGCAAACATGTACAGTGTTTGATATTGTCTGTCAGCATGTACAGTGTATAACATTGTCTGCAAACATGTACAGTGTTTGATATTGTCTGCAAGCAGGTACAGTGTTTAACATTGTCTGTCAGCATGTACAGTGTTTAACATTGTCTGCAAACATGTACAGTGTTTGATATTGTCTGCCAGCATGTACAGTGTTTGATATTGTCTGTCAGCATGTACAGTGTTTAACATTGTCTGCAAGCAGATACAGTGTTTCACATTGTCTGTAAGCAGATACAGTGTTTCACATTGTCTGCAAGCAGATACAGTGTTTCACATTGTCTGCAAACATGTACAGTGTTTGATATTGTCTGCCAGCATGTACAGTGTTTCACATTGTCTGCAAGCAGATACAGTGTTTCACATTGTCTGCAAACATGTACAGTGTTTGATATTGTCTGCCAGCATGTACAGTGTTTCACATTGTCTGCCAGCAGATACAGTGTTTCACATTGTCTGTAAGCAGATACAGTGTTTCACATTGTCTGCAAGCAGATACAGTGTTTCACATTGTCTGTAAGCAGATACAGTGTTTCACATTGTCTGCAAGCATGTACAGTGTTTCACATTGTCTGCAAGCAGATACAGTGTTTCACATTGTCTGTAAGCAGATACAGTGTTTAACATTGTCTGTAAGCAGATACAGTGTTTCACATTGTCTGCAAACATGTACAGTGTTTGATATTGTCTGCCAGCATGTACAGTGTATAACATTGTCTGCAAGCATGTACAGTGTTTGATATTGTCTGCAAGCAGGTACAGTGTTTCACATTGTCTGCAAGCAGGTACAGTGTTTCACATTGTCTGCAAGCATGTACAGTGTTTCACATTGTCTGCAAGCATGTACAGTGTTTGATATTGTCTGTCAGCATGCACAGTGTTTGATATTGTCTGTCAGCATGTAGTGTTTGATATTGTCTGCAAGCATGTACAGTGTTTGATATTGTCTGCAAGCATGTACAGTGTTTGATATTGTCTGTCAGCATGTACAGTGTTTGATATTGTCTGCAAGCATGTACAGTGTTTGATATTGTAAATATTGTCTGTTATCATGTACCATGTTACACATTGTCAGTAACATGTACTTATTCATTTTTTCAGTCAGCATGTACCTGATCACATTGCACTGGTTACCCATCCGACAGCGTATCCATTACAAAATATTGGTACTGATGTTCAAAGCCTTGCACAACACGGCACCAGTTTATCTCTCAGACCTTGTGCAAGAATATCAACCAACACGCCATCTGAGGTCATCACAACAACACATGTGCCAGACTGTAGTCAGCCGGACCAAGACATTTGGTGAAAGATCTTTTCAGGTTGCCGGCCCAGCTTTGTGAAACAAATTACCCCTCTCCCTTCGATCAGTAGAGACATTCAGTACTTTCAAATCCAGATTAAAAACTCATTTGTTCAGCATTGCATACAGAGTTCAGCAGCGCTCTTGAGCAGTCTTCTCAAGACTGGATATTAGCGTTATATAAATGTATATCAATGTAATGTTCATAATGTCAGTCTGTGATATTCAGATATTCAGGGAACAGTTCCAGACTCACCTTCCATCCCCGGGAGTAGCACTGGATGATCAATGCACCTCTCTTCTTCCTCCTGTAGCACTTCTTGGCCTGAATACAGAATACAGAACTCAGGTAATCCTACACATTTCCAAGCATATTTTACAACATTTTGCCAAATCAGAAATATTGAAGCCTCATGATGGTTTACAACAAATACACCACTCTGGACAATCACGAACTAGTGACTAAATTAACCAGGTCCCCCAGCCACCCAGGTCACACAGCCACCCAGGTCACACAGCCACCCAGGTCACACAACCAACCAGGTCACACAACCAACCAGGTCACCAACCAGGTCACACAGACACCCAGGTCACACAGACACCCAGGTCACACAACCAACCAGGTCACACAGACACCCAGGTCACACAGACACCCAGGTCACACAGACACCCAGGTCACACAGCTAACCAGGTCACACAGACACCCAGGTCACACAACCAACCAGGTCACACAACCACACAGCCCAGGTCACAGGTCACACAACCAACCTGGGCACACAACCACCCAGGTCACACAGCCACCCAGGTCACACAGCCACCCAGGTCACACAGCCACCCAGGTCACACAGCCAACCAGGTCACACAGACACCCACCCAGGTCACACAGACACCCAGGTCACACAGACACCCAGGTCACACAGACACACCAGCCAGTCACACACACAGACACCCAGGTCCAGCACACACAAACACCTAGGTCACACAGACACCCAGGTCACACAGACACCCAGGTCACACAGCCAACCAGGTCACACAACCAAACAGGTCACACAAACAACCGGGTCACATAACAAACAGGGCACACAAATAACGAGTTCACATCCTACAGGTCAGGGGATATGGAGAAAGGATAACAGCATGGGGGTGTATCCTGTGGGTAGATATAGCTGTATACATACCCAGAATGCCCTCCAGTTGGCAGACAGGACGATCTGACTGCGCTTCATTCGTCTGTACAGCATCTTCTGCCGCCAGCCCTTCCATAGCTTCTGTATCAGAGTCGCCAGGTAGTGCATCCGCTTCCGGCGCTGCTCCTCCATGTCGAACAGCTGAACACAATCATGCACTGTCAACAACCTTACTTGTCTTCGTTAATGAATTTTATTCTACAACAGAGTTCATCTCCTGCTTCACTAAGGAGGCAGTGGACACTAATGTATCATGACCCAAAAACCAATACTTCAACATTACCAAACATATAGGAGTTAATTCTATAAGTGTCAGGACATTACAGTTTTATCATTTTCAGATCGGAAATCTGTTCTTAGTTTTTGTAAACTCAAGTCAGAAGACCAAGTGCCATCTTGTTAAACTTAATTGACAGTCAAAATTATTACCATCAATTTTCAGAACTCAAATAGCTTTACAAGCTGATCACTTGTGTTCTTAGTTTCAACCACTGCTTGATAATTACACACAATGAAGCAATCAGTCACTCACAGTTTTTGGGTTCCTGATGAATATCTTGGTCTTGCCGATGGCGTATTCCTCGGACTGGATCCTCTGTGCCTGCAGGATGGTCTCCACCCCCTTGCTGTTCAGCCCCTCCCAGTGCGGCCATGTCTCGGGGGCCAGCATCTTGTAGCGGTACAGGAATGCATCGTAGTTTTGGCGAAAGGCGTACCCTGCACGTCTTACTCTCACATTCTCCATCAACCTGCACAACACAGATCAACATGGCTGCAGTCATATCTGTGGAGGTTTAGCTATAAAATTTACTGAAGTGAAATGCTGGCAGATTTTTTAGTTTGTATTAATATACTGTTTTACATTGAATACCCAGTACAAATATTGCCATAAACAAACTACAAGCGACTGTGATTGCCGTGTGATCAGCTAGCCCATCAGGTATTGTCCTATACAGGCAATGCTCACTATCAGACTACCGTTTCCTGACTGGCAGCGGAATGGGTGGGATTGGTGTTGCAGTGAGACGAATGCTGCCACTGACTGTGTATCATATAGGGTTGTTTTACTGATTAAATAACCATTCGTTTATTGCTGGCGTATTTATAACAATTGACTTTTCAACATTTCTGCACTTACAGAGGCATACATGAAAAAAGATGGTGTGCCCACTTCCAAGAAAAATATGCCCAGCTCACCCAGAGTGAGTGTGTGAGTGAGTGAGCGGAGAGTGAGCAGGAGGAGGAGTGAGTGAGGAGGAGGAGAGTGTGAATGAGGAGAGTGAGTGAGTGAGTGAGTGAGTGAGTGAGTGAGTGAGTGAGTGAGTGAGTGAGTGAGTGAGTGAGTGAATTTAGTTTTCCACCGCACTCAGCAATATTCCAGCTATATGGCAGTGGTCTGTAAATAATCAAGACCAGACAATCACCAGTATCAGCAACATTCTATGCAATCGGGATACGATGATGACAAGTGTCACCCAAGTCAGCGAGCCTGACCACCCGATCCTGTTAGTCGCCTCTTATCACAAGCATGGGCTACTGGAGACCAGTTCTAACCTGGGTTTTCATGTGTAGGCAAGGCAGTATTGACTGTGTGGACCTACCCGAGATATCGAACCTGGTGCCTCACGATGGAGAGATCAAAAGCCCCGGCCTTCTTGTCATCATTCGGCTGGAAATCATACAAGGAAATATCTTACAAAAAATCTATAAAATGTACAGGTTTTTAATGACCTTAAACCATCACACTATGCTAATCGTTCATGGATGCGCAGGACACATGTTACAAATGTCAGGAACACTGAGGTAATGTGGTGTGGCAGAATGAGTCGTACCTTCACACAGCGGATGTAGTTAGGGTTTTTGGACAGCAGGTTCTTCATCAGCTCCGTCACAGATATCTACAACAGATTCAGCACTGACATGTAGGGAGGGCTCTTGTACACAACACTCCAGGAAGGTCTATCTCTGGAGGAAGTCATGTGTGACAGGCTGGTGGAGAAACCAGTCAGCCTTATGAATTGGATACATTACTGCTTTAGAAATGTATCTAGCTATTCAAGAAGATGAGTTTGCTGACAATACATTGCAGAGTTATCTACCTTGAACTGTGATCCTGCAGTGGCTGGTCGCTTTAGGGACTTCTGGGCAGGGTTTCCTGGAACAGGCAACACATGCAACAGACCGGTTCTCTGGTCACTGTCATTTACTAGCAAGTACCCTTTTCCTAAACATTCAAACTGGCATTTATCATATCAAAATAGTTTCAGTTGTGTAATTGCAAATAATTGACTCAATAGCAAAGTATTCTGCATTGTTAAATATTTACTACATGAAAGAAGGTAAGGACCATCTGATTCAGTCAGGGTCCTTAATGTCCTTAATATATATTTAGTACATCAGAACAGGATATCCTTTCCACATCTAGTGTCTCAAGAGAGTTATCTCCTGGCTGCAAGGCTCTCACTGGGTTTCTGCTAACAGTTGATGATAGAATGTTTCAGCAACCTCTGACAGTACTCGAGTGATCCTGTCTGTGGCGACATCAGGGAACTGACCTTCAGGGAAGAGAGTCTTCAGGAGCATGTTGGAGCAGGAGTACATGGACTGGGACAGGTCCCGGAACAGCAGGTCATTGTTCTTGTCGATGAAGCCTTCAACTTTGTACAGAACCTACACAGATGAGAGTTAGTACTGCTTTATGCTAATGTTATATTCAAATGTTTTTCTCCTCAATTATACAAATGCAAGATCAGGATGAAAAGGTGACAAATCTCACTAGTTGCACTGGCTGTTTTATAAGTGTTAAAGCATGGTGGTAATGACCATCATGGTGGGGCCACAGTTGCCAGTAGTCATAGCTTCATCACACATTGGTCTGTGTAAGTATTCAACTATGTTTTCTTTAAGTGGCATCTAGAAGATGATATGATGAAGGGGAATTCAACTCAGCACCAGACAAAACCCAGTGACTCCTATTAGTGACACGTGATCAGCAATGCTCCAGGCTGCTTACCAACAGATCCAGTGAGTTGCCTCTTAGGACAATAAAATGGGGTGCTGGGGCCTAACCATTGTTGATGTGTGCTGTGGTAAAGACTGACACATCTGAACATGGAAGGTGCAACACCCCTCAGGGTAAATAATTCCTGATTCTAGTAATCTGATGATTAAGATGATTAAGGGATAACCTACATTCCCAGCGTAGTGCTTCAGTCTGAAGGGCGTCATGGGGCAGAGACTTGTCTGACTGGGTCTTCTTGCAGTTGCGACTCTCATAGTGGGGGTGTTCTGAGCAGCGAGAGTCTAGCTTCTGCAGGAAAGTCTTGTCAGACACAGTTCCTGGTCGCAGACATTCCTCATCCAGGAGGGCGAGGATGCCGATGTTGTTCTGTAATGCACACAGGTGGACATGTTTAGGCACGGAAGAGGACAGTGACAGAGTGACGGCAGTTGCTGAAGAGGTGTTGAAAAATGGATAGCACAGTTGCACAGGGCTCCAGATATTTTTTCAACATCAGGAGTATGTACTCTTTATTTGTTCATTATAGGAGTACTGGAAAACCTTAAGAGTACATTTAGAGTACTGAATGGAAATTAATGGAGTATCAGTTATCGTGTGTTTCGTTTCATATATGCACCACAACATTGCTACTCTTATGTAAACAGGTCAATAAACAATAAAACAATACTTTTTCAAATAATGTAATTTTTAGAATCTCCTTATTTGAAGCTCCTTCAAAAATAAAATCACTAATTGGTACTCACCACGAAGTTGCTCCCCTTTGTTTCCCCTGGCGGAAAGGTGTCGCCACCCTCTGGCCATGTGCTCCACTCTCTCCTGATTTAGTTTGAGCCCAACACTTGAATTTACAGGAAATCCAAAGTGTTATGTGGGGAGGATGGGAGGGCTAACCTCATGAGTCAGGATAAGTATAAAATATCAATTTTACTCTAAAAATTACATATTTTTCCTTATCCTGACTCATGCTCTTTGCTTGTAGCATCCTCTGTGAACGGAGGTGGGTAACAGAATACTTTGGATTTATAATTAGTGATTTTGTATAGATATACTGTAATATCCCTCACGGGGAACTTCATGAAGGCTTAGATTTAGGATGTTTCCTGTATAAAGAAAACCATAGGTTATATAAAGCCATTAAAGGGGAATTACATTATGAATATATTGAACAATACATATAAATTTATATATATATATATAGGTGACTCTGATAGAGGCACTGAACTTGACTATACCAAAGTATATGCTTAAGGTTGAATACTTAAGCTGAACATATATACATAGCCCTAAAACTCCGTGAGTTATAAGCTAGATGAGTATGTATAAAATACATATTAATCTTGTGAGGATAATATTTTAACGCCTCACGAGGGACTGTCAGTTGCTGGCGAGGACCAGTGGTCCGAAATGGTGAATGCCAGAGACATCTTCTGTAGTGATGTCTCTCAGGTAGTGATTAGTAAATACCATGTTAGATTTCCAATAGCATCCTTCCATAATCGTGTTCAAGGAACAGTTACCCGTAGGGTGAGAGGTAGAGGCCAGTGCCCTGATCTCATGTGGATTTGATGCTGTTGGTGGGTCCAAGCCTGCTGCCTTGTAGGCACGGGAGAATGACAGTCCTTATCCAAATAGATATTGTGGTCCGTGACACTTCTGCTTGATCTAACATTGGCGATAAGGATGAATAAGCGTTTGAGAAATCTTCTCCTTTGTTTTGGATCGTCATTAAATAAACTTTGGCTCTTACGGACACAGTGATAGGTCTTGTGTATCTTGTGATCCGAGAATAGAGATAAGCGCCGGGATGTGGAATAATCTGTCTGGTTGACCTGGCAGTTGATTTTCGCGATGAAATCCCATCTTAATCGAGGAGTGCTGTGTTATGATTGTCATCAAACTGTATCCTCGTAATCCAGAGCATGAATTTCAGACATTCTTGCTGCTGTGGCTAGCGATAGCAGAAACAGTGTTTTCTGTGAGAGAAATTCAAAGTTTGTCGATTCCAAAGGTTCATAGACCTCACTTTCGAGGTGTTGTAACACTACATTCAGATCCCAAGCTGGGGCGTGGAACTTCCTTTGGTCCTCCAATCGGAAAGCTTCGTAGTAAGGCCAGTAACTCTGGAGATCTTGTCAATTTGACACCCGTTCTCATGGTGATTACAGAACTAAGCGGCAAGATATGTTGATATCGTTGAACCTTTTAAATGTTTGTTTTGGCATTAGGTAACACAAATAGTCTGCCACTTGAGGTTGTGAAGCCTCTCTTGCTGTAAACCCTTTCTTTGTTGCATAATTTTTCGAAACTGTGCCACTTGTCGTCGTACAAGATTCACGAGTTGAGTAACGTGAAGGCAAGCGTGACTGCTTTTGCCGCCCTGGCAGAATATCCTCTCTTGTTTAAAACACATTTGTATACAGTCCATAACGTGTAGTTGGAACATTGCTGGGTTTCCGTGCACTTGTTTGGTGTGAGGATGAATTAACAGGTTTGCACGCTTGGGTAGCTCCAGTGTTGGTTGACCGATTTCTTGAATTAGTATGGGAAACCACGTTCTGGCCGGGCCAGTAGGGCGCGACCAAAGTGAGTTGTAGGCTCTGTGTTTGTCTGATTTTCTGTAATACTTGAGGTATTATTCCTGGCGCGCGAAACGCGCGTCGCATTGAGGCCTTCCCATGATAGACTTAGAGTCCGTTGCTGCCAAGCTTGGGGTCTGGGACTGGTGACACGTAATGTCGGGTAGCTGATTGATGAATCGCGTGGCGAATAGGTCTATTAGCGGCGCTCCTAATTGCTTGATTATCTGTGCAAAAATTTCCCTGTTGATCATCCACTCTGTGGGTGATGGTAGATGAGGCCGAGAGAGCCGTCTGCTAGTATATTTCTGGCTCGGGGAATGTGCACTGCTCTGACATGTAGATTTAGATCTTGTATTAAATCGAACAGTTGAAAGCTTAGGTTCAAAAGGTTCATCGATCTCGTTGAGCCTTGCTTGTTTATGTAGAACGCCACTGTCAAATTGTCTGTATGGATCATTAGGGCTGCATTTTGTAGAAATGTGCTCCAATGTAGAATGGCGCTGATTACAGCTTTTCATTTCTAGACTGTTTATATGGAGTTTGCATTCTTGCTGATTCCATAACCCTGATATCGTGTGGTTGGTGAGATGAGCTCCCCAACCTTGGAGGACGCTGATCTACATACAGATGGGTTTTGTATTCCTGCTCTGCTAAACAAATCCCTTCGCAGAGACATTCGATTTCTTGGTCCACCATAGTAGATGGTCTGAGATGTTTGATGTAGACTGAATGGTTGTACATCGCTGAGATGTATGCGTTGATGAGGACCTGTAGGGGACGTAACTGTAATCTGCCTGTGACAGTCATGTCTTGGGCTGATGTGAGAAGACCTAGTAGGCTCTGCCATTGTCGCAGTGGTAACGGAGAGAGTAGAGCTGGTGGAATGGTCTGCTGTATCTTGAGCCAACGGGTCTTCTGGTACCATAATACGGGTTAGCGATTTGTGATGAATCGAATACCTAGGAACTGCAGGTCTTGCGATGGTACTAGGTCCGACTTATGTAAGTTTACTTAACCAACCTAGTTGTGTTAGTAGCTTTATGATGTAATTTAACTGTAGTTTGAGACGCAGTGGATCTTGATCTACTTGTATCCCGTCGTCGAGGTAAAACGCACTGCGTGGCCCTTGAATGATGTAGAAATTTGATAATCGGTTTTGTTATCCTCGTGAATAGCCAGGGGCTGATGATATTCGAATGGGAGTACTTTCCACTGGTAATGTAGCCCTTCTAGAGTAAATCGAGGTATTTCCTGGAATCGGGATGAATGGGGATGTGCAGGTAGGCATCCTGTAGATCTATGCTGCCCATGTAGTCCATAGGACCGAATCATCTGGCGAACTGAGGTAAATGTATCATGCATGAAACCCGATTGGTTTTGCGTAGATAGTTCTTGTTGAAAAAGCTCATGTTGTAGATGAGTCTGTATTTCTCCGTGGAGTTTTTCTTGGGAACTAGGAAAACTGGGGAGTAGAAACCTGGTTCGGACGTTTGCTTGATCTATTACTTCTATGGCCTGTTTGGATAGGGAGTGATGAAACAGCCCTCTTATCTTTGGTAGTTGTTGCGCTTGTAAATCGAACCTGGGGGTTTGATTGTCAGCGGAGGCTTGGCCTGTAGAGGGATAATGCAAAATGCGGTTGAAGAATGTTGGAGACGTAGAGGTCTTCTGCAATATTCCCCAGTTTTTCCAGTGTAGTTGGAGCGCCCACCCACTTGAGCTGGCTGTACTGGAACGGCTGGGGTGGAAGACTCCAGTCGTTCGAACCTGTGTTTCAGCCGTCTATAATTGCGGGAACCTCTGGGTGTCCTGCCTCTTCCTGATCCTCCTCTATAGTTGCCATATGGGCTTAATTGAAAAGAATCTTTACCTCTAGAGCTGGCTATCTTCCTGTCTCTTGCGCTCTTTGTAGGCCCGTGAACTTAGATCTGCCTGAGTATTTTTGTGAAGTCTGGACGAATGACGCTGGCTAGTGTGTCCATCGATCTAATCATAAGGACTTCCCTGGAATCCTTAGAGACTTCCTTGGCTTACTTTGTCGATTTCTCCGTCAAAGATGGATGTTGTCGACCACGGGCTGTATAAAGTGGGCTGTAAAGTTCTCTTCCCCAATTACAGGAGGCTTAGGAGGCCTTGACGATTTGAAGCTAAGGTCAGTGCTGCTGAAACAGATGTAAGATGATCCGTTAAAACTGCTGATCTTTCTTTTGCATAAGTAAGGCAGAATAAATCATTCTATCATCTTCCGTCGTGGAATCCCGGAATCTAGTAATAAGAGTCTCATTGATCGCCCTAGATCTATTTAACCCAAAGAACATACGCCTCGCCATGGTTTCTATATGAGCCAACTGCGATCATCCATCTTGTAAATCTTGTTCTTTACATAAGCTGATGATCTTATAGTTCTCATCGATGTCCTGGACCTTGTAGAAGGAGTCCATGTTGGCGCGTGGAGAACTTCTTGGCTTGAAAGTTGGGCAGATGTGGTGTTTGAACTTTCGTAGCTTTCTGGAAAGCTGCATCTAGATTCTGTGGCACTGCCGCAATCGGGTCAATCGGGGTAGAGTGATTGCATCTGGATCATCTTCCTTCATCAAATACGTCTGCGCTGTATTGCCACTTTTAGATGGTGATGTGAGATCTAGGTTATTGACCATCCAATACCGTATCTCTGCATCAGAAAATATGATTCCTCCATCATCCTCAAAACCATCATCATTAACAAAATGTAGATGCTCTTCGGGACCGCGCGGTAGCTGTCTGTATATCTGATGAGGTTTGTATGGCGATCTAGTTGACTTGTGGCGCCGCTCTATGTGGAGATCTGACGGGTGATCGACCTGGTGATGAAGCGAAGTGGAGATCGTCTATGGGATGATCTTCTCGGAGACTTGTGAGGTGAATGTTGATAGCTTCGAAGCTCTTCGGCAGTCCCTCGATGTTCTTCTAGATGATGAGGATCTGGAATCATATGTCCTTCGCGAATGCCTTCGTGAAGCTTCATTTGCGTCCGGGTCCGGGGATCGATGATATGACCTTCGAAGGCCTCCGTGATGTCTGATGGTCTGAGTCCATATCTAGAGATGAAATCAAAGATGGTGATGACCTCTCCCGTAGCCGAAGCCTTCGCCGAAGGCTGTACATCTAGGTCCTTCGTCAAGGTGGTCGCGGGACTTCCTTCGCCGAAGGTGACATCGTCTTGGCTGCTCACGTTGATGGGGGTGCCTCTGGGGTGCTGTCACGTTGGAGCCTTCGCGAAGGCTCTCGGACCCGCTTGGCGCAGTTTGTAGTGGTCCTCCATGATGTTCATAATCTGCCGCATCATGTCTTCTGGGATGATCTGTGATCGAAGTCGCCGGTGACGTCTTTTTCTGCGATGGGGTTCACATCAATGACGTCTGACGTCGGTGTAGAGGCATCAGGCTGCATGGTGATCTCTGCAGAAGTCTACAGTCGCTGACACCGGTCGCTTCTTCTGCCGTGAAATTCGGGATGATTATCGGCTGATCATCGAGAGGCCCAATTCTGCTGCTGGAACGATCTCGGCTGAGAAAGTTCTTGCTGTCTTCGTAGATTTCCTTTGGAAGTCTGCGCTGCCCTGGGTGTCCTCAATCTGTGTTGAGACGACGATGAGGCCCTCTTAGACTTGGTCTGCAATGACGGGATGTCTGGGGAGGCGGTCGTTTCTTCGAGGTAACGGACTGGCGCCCCACGTTCCTCTACCGAAGGGGTCTCTAGCAGAACACCAGGCGGAGAGGGTCGATCGCTAGCAGCTGACTGGATGGAATATCTGGACTCTCTGCCATGTTTTGCCCTTGTTTGCGTGATCTATCTGCAGCACGCCTTAAGACGCAAAGATGATATTTATTAAATGCAGAATAGAGATAAATTAATGCAGTAACTGCAACGCGGAATTAAACGCATTAGAACAACTAGGGCATATTACATGTGGATCGGAGGCAGAAAAACGTAATCTACAAATCGCGTAGATTTTCATCAACGTAAAGCTAGCTGAACAATCACGATACACAATACACGTGAATAAACAGTAGAAATACGATAATTAATCAATACAAATAGTAAAGGATACTAGCTATGCCTCTATAGAAACCTATGAGAGGTAAAAACTAAGAGATTATCAAAGGATATGGTGTGTAAGGAGACACGAGGCGCTCTCACATCCTGCTCACTGGGCGAAGAAGGAGAGAGTGGAGCACATGGCCAGAGGGTGGCGACACCTTTCCCGCCAGGGGAAACAAAGGGGAGCAACTCGTGGTGAGTACCAATTAGTGATTTTATTTTGAAGGGAGCTTCAAATAAGGAGATACAAGTGTTCCACTATGTTCGCAAGAAGAAGAAGACAAGCAAAAGAGCATGAGTCAGGATAAGGAAAAATAATACATCTGTAAATTATTCTAAGACCATACACCATTGCTGTGGTGCGTATCTGCTACATTTTCTAAATTATTTCCTACCATATCGTGTATATTTTTTATCCGTACATACACCGATACGGCCCTTATCTGGAGCTCTGGTTGCAAGGGAGATGGAAAGTGGATGGAATTTTGGTTGTCAGGTAAAAGAGGCATGGACTGGCTGCAGTTGACACTGAGTTAGGAGAAAACCCTGAAAGTAGGACACTTCCACTGATAAATTTGATTTTCGCAATAAAATACATTTCAGGTAAATGATGTTGCCAACAGTTGAAATGTCTGCAGGGATGGTGAGTGGAGTATGGAATATGAGTATGGATGGGTCGGATACCTTACTGATGTACCCACCTTCTCAATAAGGTCACAGATGACAGAGTTGTTGAAGTAGTCCACTTGGATCCATTCAATACCCTGCAACAGACAAGAATGGGACAGTTAAAGATGGTCACACAGACACAGATTCAGTCACAGACCCAGACCCAGAGTCAGACATGGAATGTCGTGAAAGGCACAGAAATGAGGTCTACAGAGTTGTGTCCCTTAGACAGCCAGATTTCTTGTTTGTGGTTTCAGATCCCAGATTCAGTCTGATTGATTCTTGGACTGTCCAGTACTATAGTCGGGTTTCACAAAAGTGATAAAACACTGAGACTTTCCACCTGACTTGAGCTGACACACCCTGATATAACGTGACAACTGTTCACAGCGGTGTTTACCGTCACTTGCTCATGCCATTAGCTCATGGGTTTAACAGAGTTACATGTCCACAACCCAGGTCACATTAGGATAACCTCATCAGGCTGACATACTATCACATAGTGGTTTTGTGGAGCTTTCAGTGATTTTCCAGCAACATAACAGTGGTGTACACCAGAACCAGGCTCCACAGTGGTGTACACCAGAACCAGGCTCCACAGTGGTGTACACCAGAACCAGGCTCCATACAGAGTTTTTGATTTCACTGATTGATTGTTGTTTGTGTCAACCAAATCAGCGTGCCTGACTACCTGATCCCGTTAGTCACCTCTTACGACAAGCAAGGGTTACTGGAGACCAATTCTAACCCAGACCTTCATGGATCTCCATACAGTGTACCTATGTGAGGAATGACTCTGGGCTACGGCATGGCAAGTGAATGCCTTGACCACCCTCCTACCCCCATGGCCACATCTGTGATACAACTAAATACTGTTGAATGTCATCCAAATTCCAACCCACCTCCCCGTCTATTGTCATATTAGTCCCCCACCCACTCCAATCTCCTACCCCCTTGCGCTGAAACCAGAAGGCTTCACATACACGGGGGAGATAACCCTACCTCCTTGATGTACTCGTCCTGTTCCTCCTTGAGGGTCAGCTCTATGAAGATCTGCTGTAGTTTCTCATTGCAGTAGTTGATGATAAACTGCTCAAAGCTGTTGTGCTGCAAACAGACAGACATAACCTTATGTGTTGAAAGACTCTAAGCCTTGGTAAGGAATATTTGATGCTATCACAATAGTAGGATGCTAAATAAATAATACATTCGAGAAGAACTTGTTAACAATCTCTTAATACTTTCAAATAACTGACTATTTCATCAGCAAAAAAAATTGTTCTTGCCTAAAACATGAAATCTGAAGATATCATCACACAAGCAGCTCTCTAACAGATTCTATTGTCTGCTGTGGAACACCTTACAAGCATAACCTTCCACCTATCTCATCTAACAGTATCATCTCACCTGGAACACCTCGAACCCGTAAATATCCAGCACTCCCATCACCTTGGTTTTCACTTTCTTCTTCACCTGTACACATTCAATCAGTCAGTAAAACAGAGTAGAAGCAGTGCCAGTTGAAGGAGCACCATCACTATTACTTTTCTTTGCATTGGTCAACATTAAGACAAAGACAACTTCCTCAATTCCACTGTTTGGTATGGGCTACTATAGGATGTCCTCCCTTGGCCTTCAATAGTATATTCAACACAGATATAAATCCTTAAAACCTCAATGAAACGCCATACTGCTTGGTGGGTACCTCACCTTGATACTGTCGTTGATCCTCTGCACGAGCCAGGAAAACATCCTACTGTACAGAGCCTTGCATAGGGCATCTCGGGCATAGAACGCCTGCAACACAAGCACGACATTAGCACAGTGCAGGGCTCTTCTGATTATCATATGATTACCACCTAACATGATAGTTTAGTTTGTCTTCCCCTATGCAATAGCACGAGTCTGCAATACATTAAACAGACCGCAGGACGGCAACATCAGCAACCATCCATGCTAACCTGGTCAGATGCTACACAGTAAAACCAGAGACAGTTGTCACTGTGCCATTATCTCATTATATGATACATTTCACGTCACTTTGTCCATGATATACCATGGGTCACAATACCCAACTTGTGACAGTTTGGCATGAATAATTGAATTTAATAAAGACATACAGACTGACAAAAGGCTTGAAAGTTTGGAAATACCTGGACTCACAATTGAATAAAAAAACATGTCTCATTACAATCAACACTGTATTTTACATAAAACTGGATTATCAAAGAATTTTGAAAAAGAAAAAAATATGTTAAAATTAGGTACACTGAACAGTTCATATTAATGAAGAAATAAACTGTTTCTTGACAATGAAGTTAGGACCCACTATGAATTGAAGATGATCCTTCAGCAACAGAAGAGCCTGTTTACTAGTGGTTGTCATATAATTGGCATGATAATTACCTCCCCTGAGTTCAGGTCAGTTTTGACTTTGTCTCCACGAACTTCAACTGTACGCTGAGTCAAGGCTGCTGATAAGGTCTGGGCAGAGCACTCCAGCAGTTCACACACTTCAGACACCTCTGTTAATGGACAGGAATTACATTCATTTTACTATGGGATATGTGTTATCACTGGGACAGACATATATCAGGGGTGGAAATAACTTTAGAATCGCTAGTGTACTCCGGTACAGTGGCACGTGTAAAATCACTTGCCCTGATAATTTTTCCACTAAACTGGCTGATTTTCTTGTTGATTTTTTAAATAAACAACATAATTTTAACATTGGAAAGTCAACTGGACACCGGTACAGCGTGATATACAAATTTGCTTGCCCGACAGAAAAAATCACTGAACTGGAGTGTCGGGCAATGGGTTATTTCCACCCCTGTATATACATGTCATGTTTCAGAAATGATTCGAATCACCAAAACCAAAAATTAATCAGACTTAAACATGAGATGGGATTTTAATGTTGCTTTGAAAAGACGTTAGGAATATCAAATCATGACAGCTTAACATGTAATGAACACACTTAAACTCAGCTGAATCACAGGTGCGGGCTGACAAACACGGCCTATCATTCAGTGCTAACAATAGGGATCAGTTCTAGACACACTGGCAGTCCTAACTTGACACGTCATGGCTGCCATGGTGGAAAGCTATGAAGAAACTATGCCATTTAGAAAGTGGTAAAATGTAACATAGGTGGCTGATTAGTTTACAACTCTGACCAGTCTAAAGTCCGTCCAGGACATAGTGTCAGGTCCAGCTGTGAACATGTGTCACGTCCAGCCCTCCACTGTCACTGTGTCCAGGACGCAGAGTCCCATCCAGCCAACATTCACAAACCTTGGGTGCTGCCGATGTCACATCCGTCTGTGCCATCATCGTTGCCCTTGTGGTGGAAGGTGATGTTTCCCAGTTTCAGGATCGTTGCCACCAACTGCAAGACACCCATCACTTCCTTCTGGTGGAAGCCAATGACCTCCATACCATTCTGTGAACATTAACAGTCAAAGTGACAACTCAACAAAATAAGCAGCAGTAGTAATACTAGCAAAGTAAACCTTGAAAAGTCTACTTTGTTGTCAAGAACAAGAGGAACATATAGTGTGGTAATGATCCTGACATGTATAAAAGTTTATGTGACTTTTGTTAAACTGGAGGCATTCCTGGTCATTCTTTCACTACAATTAAGTATCCATGAGCTTGACTATGCAGACTGTTTGAGGTAACTCACTGGGCTCAACACTACAATCAGCACAATACAGGCCAATCATGGCTTGCAAGAGGACTCTGGACACAAGCATGTAACTGTGGGTAGGCCTGGACAAAAGCATGAGTTTCTGGGGATACACCTCAATAAAAACATGAGGCTCTGGGGATAAGCTTAAATAAAGCATGAGGCTCCAAGAATAGACTTCAACAAAAGCATAAGGTACTGTGAGAGAGACCTCTGACACAAGCACGAGGTTTCGAGGATAGACCTCGACACAAGCACGAGGTTCTGAGGATACACCTCGACACAAGCACGAGGATAGACCTCGACACAAGCACGAGGTTCCGAGGATAGACCTCGACACAAGCTAGAGGTATCAAGGATAGACCTCGTCAAGAGCAAGAGGTACTGTGAGCAACACTTCTGACACAAGTTTTAGGTTCCAGGAAATAGACAGTGAACACAACCATGGGCTACTGAGGGACTAGCCTAAGACACAGCATGAGGTACTACTCTTTAGTAGCCTGAAGAGTAAAGAGAGATACCTACCCTGATTGAATGGAAGTTCTCACTGTCATTTATTGCAGGGACGTTAATACATCCACTTTTGTTGAGAAACTGATAGCTGTTGTGGTCACTTGTCAACTTCAAGCTCTCTGAAAAGGACAACATGCATGGTCATATGTAGATGAACATCAACCATACTTATAAAACAATTTACACAGCTAAGGAAAACAGCCTGAAAGCCTCCAGGTTGCTATCACTGTGATGTAAGAGAATGTGTTTACCAAGCAATGCTGGTTCTGCTCCACTCAGCAGTTGGTAGAAGATGTGGAAACTACGCTCTCCAGGTCCCTGGGCGGCCACTCTCGACTGAAAACATCATTAGAATCAGTTACACACTGTGCAAATCATAAGGGAAGGAGACATATCAAACAGTTCCAACAAGGCCATCAAGCCAGCACTAGAAGTGAAACCAGTAGTACAAGCAGTGCATTAATCACACACTGAGAAAGACCTTGTGAAACCTATAGCACCAAATGTGCATCAGTGAGACATCTAACAAGCACCTGCAGAGAAACCCACTGTTGTGTCTTTCTGGTGGCTTTAAACTTACCTTTTCAAGCAGGTCTGTTGTGTCCAGAGGTCATGAAACAAAGAACAGACCTACAGTGCATTAGCTGGACCAGTAGTAGCACCAATACTTCATCTACTGTTACTATTTAGTTGTTTAAAGCTGCACTCACCAATATTACAGCTATACCCACTATCTACATAATAGTGGTCTGTAAACAGTCAAATAATGAGTGAGTGAGTGAGTTTAGTTTTACGCCACACTTGGCAATATTCCAGCTATATGGCGGCGGTCCGTAAATAATCGAGTCTGGAGCAGACAATCCAGTGATCAACAGCATGAGCATCGATCTGCACAATTGGGAACCGATGACATGTGTCAACCAAGTCAGCGAGCCTGACCACCCGATCCCGATAGTCGCCTCTTACGACAAGCATGGGTTACTGAATATCAATATTCTAACCCGGACCTTCACGGGTAGTCAAATAATGACCACACACAAACCAGTTACAGATGTTTTAAGTAGTCATGTACATCTGCCAGGTGCAAGGACACACCATGTAACATGTCAACAAGCATGTTTTAATTTTACCTGGAACCCCATGGAACACAATTAATGTATTGCTGATCTAGTCACATCATGTTTATTCTCATTTCCTAAGTTTCATATCCACTTTAAGATTGCAGCAGGAAATTGTCAGGAAAATAAGGAAAACACTTGTATCTCCCTAATTGAAGCTCCCTTCAATTTTAAAATCACTAATTAGTATTCACCACGAAGTTACCTCCCTTTCACAAGCTGAAGGAAGAGGCCAATTCCTACCCATGTGCCTCACTCTCTCCTCATATACTGAGCCCAACATTTGAATTTACAGGAAATCCAAAGTGTTATTTGGGAGGATGGGAGGGCTGACCTCATGAGTCAGGATAAGTATAAAATATCAATTTTACTCCAAAATTACATATTTTTCCTTATCCTGACTCATGCTCTTTTGCTTGTAGCATCCTAATGAACGGAGGTGGGAATATCTAATACTTTGGATTTTTAATAATTAGTGATTTGAACTGTGATGATTGTAATAACCCTATGGGAACTTCATAAAGGCACTGAACTGATGAATTCCTGCTGCTAACTTATCAGCTGCCATATAAAAGGTTATTATCATGTACTTATTATGATAAAGTATATATAACATTAATACAATGCTTAAGACTAATAGACTTAAGCTTGTTAATATAGTTAGTATAAACTCCTTTTAGAGTTTGTTAGCTAAAATACTTTTTAAGATATAACATAGTACTAAGCTTAAGATATGATTAAACTTAAGCTAATTATATAATAGCAAACTCTTTAGAGTTTGTTAGTTAATATACTTATATGATATAGATATAATGCTGAGCTTAAGATATGAATAAGCTTTAGCTACATATATAATAGCAAAACCTGTAGAGTTTGTTAGCTAATATATTTTATAATATGAGTATAGTACTGAGCTTAAGCTATAATTAACTTAAGCTACATATATAATAGCCAAACTCTGTAGAGTTTGTTAGCTAATATATTTTTATAATATGAGTATAGTACTGTGCTTAAGCTATAATTAACTTAAGCTACATATATAATAGCCAAAACTCTGTAGAGTTTGTTAGCTAATATATATTTATAATATTAGTATAGTACTGAGCTTAAGATATAATTAACTTAAGCTACATATATATAGCAAAACTCTGTAGGGTTTTGTTAGCTAATATATTTTTACAATATGAGTATAGTAGTGTGCTTAAGATATAATTAACTTAAGCCACATATATAATAGCAAAACTCCGTGAGAGTTTGTTAGCTAATATATTTTACAATATGAGTATAGTAGTGTGCTTAAGATATAATGAACTTAAGCTACATATATAATAGCAAAACTGTAGAGTTTGTTAGCTAATATATTTTACAATATGAGTATAGTATTGTGCTTAAGATATTATTAACTTAAGCTACATATATAATAGCCAAAAACTCTGTAGAGTTTATTAGCTAATATGTTTATAGTGTAACCATAGTACTAAGCTTAAGATAAGATTAGACTTAAGCTAAAAGTATATAGCAAAATAAACTCCTTAGAGTTTATTAACTAATATACTTTTATGTTAAAAACATAGTACTGAGCTTAAGTTATGATGAAACTTAAGCTATATATATATAATAACAAAACTCCACGAAGTTTTGTTGGCTAATACCTTTATAATGTAAACATACTGCTTAAGATATGATGAAACTTAAGCTAATTGTATAATAGCGAAAACAACCCTTTAGAGTTTGTTAGCTATGATATAAACCTAGTATTGAGCTTATGAAGGAAAACTTAAGCTACATATATAATAGCAAGAACTCCGTAGAGTTTGTTAGCTAATACATGTTATAATGTAACCATAAAGCTTAAAATATGATGAAACTTAAGCCTAAATATATAATAGCAAAACCCTCTTTTAGAGTTTTGATAGCTAATATACCTATATGATATAAACATAGTACTGCGCTTAAGATATGAATAAGCTTAAGTTACATATATAATAGCTAAAACTCTGTAGAGTTTGTTAGCTAATACATGTTATAATATAACCATATTGCTTAGAAATATGATGATACTTATAGCAAAAAACTCTTTAGAGTTTGTTAGCTAATCTACTTATATGATATAAACATAGTACTAAGCTTAAGATATGAATAAGCTTAAGCTACCTATATAATAGCAAAACTCCTTAGAGTTTGTTAGCCAATATATTTTAATAATATGAGTATAGTACCATGCTTAAGGTATAATTAGCTTAAGTTACCTATATAATAGTAAAACTCCCATTAGAGTTTGTTAGCTTAATTAACTTAAGCTATGTATAAAATAGCCAAAACTCTGTAGAGTTTGTTAGCTAATGCATTTATCATGTAACCATAGTATTACTCTTAAGATATGAATAACTTAAGGTAAATATATATAATAACAAACTCTGTAGAGTTGTTAACTTATATATTGTATGATGTAATAATCATAGTACTGTGATGATAAAAGGAACTTAAGTAAATTATACATAGCATGAAGCTATTTAGTATTGTTATAAGATAAGTAAAAATCTGTTAGATTGACTTATCTTCTCCGAGGAACTGTCAGCTGTTGTGCGAGGACCATGGGATCGAATTGGTGTATACCTGAGACGCCCTCGGTGGTGATATCTCTCAGATAATGGTTTGCAACCACCATATCGGATTTCCAGAAATAACCTCCATTATTTCAATCACATTTGTGTAGAACAATTGTAGAAGTTAAGCTTATAATATCATGAGTATTAAGCTCATGGAGGGTCGGAATAGGTCCATCCGCATATGCACGAGTATGACAGTTCTGATCCAAATGGAGATATAGTACATGAGACTTCACTCTCGTAAAGTTGATGATAGAGGAAATAATCTGTTGCATTTTTCCTCCTGTTTGGTTTGGTGGAGATAAATTTACAGTGCTCTTGCTGGCCAACTTGATAGAATCATCGTTATCATGGGGTCCAAGTATGTCATCCAGGCGTGTTCATAAACCTCACTTGTGAGGTGTTGGAGCACTATATTCATATCCCCAGGTTGGGCGAAATTTCGTTTTTTATTCTCCAAACAGAAGTTTAGTAGGTTTACTAACCATCTAGTTGTGTTAAGTCGCTGATGAAATTCAGCTGTAGTCTGAAACGCTGTGGATTTAGATCCACTTGTATCTTCGCCTAGGTAATTCGCCGCTGCTAAGTCCTTGACGATGTAGGTGCACAACCAGGTGTGTCTGTCCTCGCTGAACTTTATGTAAAACGGCTTCTGACTGCCCATCCCTCGCCTTAACTTGACAGGGGAGGTCTCTAACTATGAAGAAAGGCAGTCTAATCATGAATGTTCAGGTTAACTGGACTGTAATGAGGCTTGCTCGCCTTCACTGATATATAGTTGTCACTTCAGACGTAAGTCTTGAACTGTGAATTGAGATCCACCTCTGTGTAGGTCGTTGTCCCTCGCGGTCCAATCAGAACAAGGCATTTTGATTCTGCATATAATACCCGCTTGTGATGTCACCGGTGTAGCGGGAAAAACCCACCTTGAATAAATTCTTGTCGCCGCTGATATTAGCATAAACGCCGGTCTTCACCGTAGCTTCCCCGGTTATCCGAAGTGACCACGGTTTCGAGGGTTAATGGTAATCGCTGAAAACCTCCGCCAAATATCTCGCCTGTAATTTTATGCTGGGTAGGTTATTTTCCTGGTTGTCGTCGGAAAGTAATTTCAGTTTTGAATATAATTCGACTTTCCTTATATATAAGGGTATAAACAACTTGCAAGTTGTGAGCTTGTAGACTGTATACATGAATGTATCGTCATAATTGTAGAATTAACGCTGAACTTGTTGTACATATTTCTTCTCAGAAACTTTGACGCATTAATAGTTATACTCGCTGTAACAAGGCTGCTGTTCAATTTCGATATTGAATTGTCTGCAGATATGCGTAATGGTCACGCATGTAGATAATCGTATCGTCAGTCCGGGATTGTATATATTAGCAATTTATACGAATAGTTGATTTCTGTGAAGATCTATGAAATGTCGCTGAGCCTGTTGTTGTAATGATGGGACCCTCATGGGACGGATCATCGATATCTGCTTTGGTACATCAGGCTGCATGCTGATTCGAGCCGACATCGGGTCAATCTTTGATGTACATCTGGTATGATGACCGGCTGATCATCAAACAGGCCCAAACTCCGCGATGGGGAACGGTCTCGCTTGTTGAGATGTGGTAGAAAACCCTCTAGTCTTCTGCATGCGACGATGGGATGTCTGGGGAAGCAGGATGCTTCTTGGAGATGGCGGATCACGCCCCACACCTCTCCACCACTCTAGCGAACACCACACGGGAGGGGAGTCGGCCAACAGCAGTAGACTGGCGAGGGGTTCCGTATCAGTCATACTAGAGTCTGCATATGTGACCATTCGCTAAAAGCGTGCCAGCGAACGAAGTAAATATTAATAAAAGGTAGAATTGGATAAATTAGTACCGCGAACTGCAATGTGAATATAATAAACATGGCTACCGCATTAATCATATTAAAGGCGATCAGCAGCAGCATAAAAACGTGATCTGCAATAGTACAGAATTTTCATCAACGTAATCCACTGAAACAAACACGGGCGCCCCGTGAATAAACTGTAGAAAACGTAATTAAAATATCAATATATAATCGCTTGAAGGATACTAGCTAAACCTCTATAGATGCTCTATACACAGGTAACTAACTAAATATATTTTCAAAGGATATAGTGTGTCGGGAGACACAGGCGCTCTCACGTCCAGCTCACTGGGCGAAGAAGGAGAGAGTGAGGCACATGGGTAGAGGTGGCGCCCTCGTTCCCGCGCTTGTGAAAAGGAGGTAACTCGTGGTGAATACTAATTAGTGATTTTAAATTGAAGGGAGCTTCAATTAGGGAGATACAAGTGTTCCACTATGTTCGCAAGAAGAAGAAGACAAGCAAAAAGAGCATGAGTCAGGATAAGGAAAAATTGGATATTGCAACAAAACAAGTAATTCATTAATAAACAAGTCAAATATGCATGTACATGCATGTGTACTTACAGTTTGTTATGACTCCACCGATGGGGTCGCCCTTAAAGTCGAACTCTATGTCCATGTACTTGCCCTGGTCAACACAAAGAAACTTCCATCATGGGGGTGTGGCAGTCTACACACCTGACAGGTAACATGAGCAATGACGTACACACTGCTCTGCAGTCAACAACATTCCAGCTATTTCACCAGAGTTTGTAGATAATGGAGTCTGAAAGTGGCCACAATGATTCCACCATCAAGACATGATGGCAGACACGGCTACACCAAACTACCACCACCCAGTTCACATGTACAACCACAAGCATGGGGGAATCCCTGAAGGTGGGGGGTGTATTGTTTCACAGGGTGAGTGAGTCTATGGTGTTCATAATGTCACAACATAATTACAGATTACTGAGGATCAGAAGTAAAACACATGGTAATGATAACTCTAGTCATTTGACTATAACCTTCTAGCGCCTAACAGGCAGCTTGGGTTATCCGGGGTAATAATAATCAGATTCTGATTACAGCATCCAGTGAGCAACTAGTCAGATGGATACTAGGCGCTATATGAATGAATTATTATTATTAACTTGAACGACAGTCAGTCTTCCGTGGAGATCACTTGCATAGCTGCCTGTTATTAAGAAACAAGTAACTCTGTGCTCTATTAGATCCACATCCATGCTCACTTGGTAGCAATGTTATTGCATCAGGGCAGTGTTGGCTCTCACAGTGAATTACCTCCCTCGGTGATATGGTACTGCTACATGTGGAACTGGAACAATATCTTACTATAACCCTTCCTGAGTACTTACAAATCTGGAGGAGTTGTCATTCCTGGTAGTCTTCATGCTACCAAATGCTGAAAGTCAAATGTTGAAAATGTACTTTAGAACAATTTTTGTTCACAGATATTATTTATATAGCTGAAGATACATCTACTTGTCTCAACAAGGCATTCATTGGGTAATTAAAATGCATATCATAACATATTTTGTTGAGGATAATTAACTTTGGATAACAAGTATTCTGTTTATCTCATTGATGGGGTTGTCATGATCAACATATTCAAAAGTGAAAATATCAGCTATGACTTTCAAGAACTGGACAAACCTTAACCCTGATAACTTAAAGGATTTCAAGGATGAGATAAACTTCCCTCTGCCTAAGACTGGGCATGCCTATCTTTGTTCAAGCCTCCAGTGCTTACCTTCAAGGACTGGGCATGCCTATCTTTGTTCAAGCCTCCAGTGCTTACCTTCAAGGACTGGGCATGCCTATCTTTGTTCAAGCCTCCAGTGCTTACCTTCAAGGACTGGGCATGCCTATCTTTGTTCAAGCCTCCAGTGCCTACATTCAAGGACTGGGCATGCCTATCTTTGTTCAAGGCTCCAATGCTTACCTTCAAGGACTGCGCATGCCTATCGTTTGTTTAAGCCTCCAGTGCTTACCTTCAAGGACTGGGCATGTCTATCTTGTTCAAGCCTCCAGTGCTTACCTTCAAGGACTGGGCATGCCTATCTTTGTTCAAGCCTCCAGTGCTTACCTTCAAGGACTGGGTTTGACTGCAGCAGCTGTTCTTGACTCCGGTCGATGTCCTGTCCCTTCCTCGACACCTCCAAGTAACATACTGCATGATCACCTTGCTGGCCTCTGCAACACTGCATGATATTTACATGAATATATTACACAACTATATTACACACACTTTACTATAACTGTGCTGGTTTCACTATACTATGCCCAGCCCTGTGCTAGTTTGGGTCATCATCCGTCATTCAAATGGTGGTATCAGTAGAACTCTACCAACTGAACACAATCTTCCCTCCCCTCACTCCATGATTCCCTCCATCGATCTACCAACAGTTGTCCCCTACAATGCCTATCCACTTGTCCTTTTCTACATTATCTACCCACTATCTACCCATTCCTCCATGATGTCTACCCATCCATCCTTGTATAATATCTACCCACTCATTCTCCTCCATGTCTACCCATCCATCCTTGTATAATATCTACCCATTCATTCCCTCCATGATGTCTACCCATCCATCCTTGTATAATATCTACCCACTCATTCCTCCATGTCTACCCATCCATCCTTGTATAATATCTACCCACTCATTCCTCCATGATGTCTACCCATCCATCCTTGTATAATATCTACCCACTCATTCCTCCATGATGTCTACCCATCCATTCTTGTATAATATCTACCCACATTCATTCCTCCATGTCTACCCATCCATCCTTGTATAATATCTACCCATTCATTCCTCCATGATGTCTACCCATCCATCCTTGTATAATATCTACCCACTCATTCCTCCATGTCTACCCATCCCCATCCATTCCTTGTATAATATCTACTCCACTCATTCCTCCATGATGTCTACCCATCCATCCTTGTATAATATCTACCCACTCCATTCCATGTATAATATTCTACCCATTCATTCCTCCATGTCTATCCATCCATACCCACTCATTCCTCCATGATGCCTACCCATCCATCCTTGTATAATATCTACCCACTCATTCCTCCATGTCTACCCATCCATTCTTGTATAATATCTACCCACTCATTCCTCCATGATGTCTACCCATCCATCCTTGTATAATATCTACCACTCATTCCTCCATGATGTCTACCCATCCATCCTTGTATAATATCTACCCACTCATTATTCCTCCATGTCTACCCATCCATCCTTGTATAATATCTATCCCATCTACCCACTCTCATTCCTCCATGATGTCTACCCATCCATCCTTGTATAATATCTACCCACTCATTCCTCCATGTTCCTCCATGATAATATCTCCACCCATCCATTCTTGTATAATATGTACCCATTCATCTACCCACTCGATGTCTACCCATCCATCCTTGTATAATATCTACCCACTCATTCCTCCATGATGTCTCCATGTTCACCCATCCATTCTTGTATAATATGTACCCATCCATCCTTGTATATCTACCCACATGATGTCTACCCATCCATTCATTCCTCCATGATGTCTACCCATCCATCCTTGTATAATATCTACCCACTCATCCCTCCATGATGTCTACCCATCCATCCCTGTACAATATCTATCCACTCAACTATGTCTACCCACCAGTTTTGCCGGAGCCGCTCTCCCCGGAGATGATGATACATTGATCCAGGTTTCTGTCCCGCATCGACCGGTAGGCATCATCAGCAATAGCATATCTGGGGACACAAAACATGTCCCTTGGAAGAATTCCACAAAGAATCATCACAGTATACACACAAAGAAGGATCTACAAACCCATTTATTCATGGTAGTGGAACCAGGAACCAGGAACCAGTGACATATCCTTATATACATGGTACAGGGGTATATATATAGTACAACCAGAAATTATTGAGAATTTAAGACAGTAATTTTAAAAAAAAAATTCACTCATTACTCACGTATTAAATGTGAATATTAGCAGAACCTACTCCAGATTCAAAGACAGGTGAACAGTTAGTATTTTGTCAATTCACCATGGGCAGCAATGCAGACTTCAATGCGGAGGGGCATACTACTGATCAAAGAAGTTAGAAAGTCGTGGTCCACGCTGTCCCAATATCGGACCACCTCTTCTTTCATTTCAGCAATATTTGTCAGATTTTTCTTATTGACACTTTCCTTCATAAGTCCCCAAACATTTTCTATTGGATTTAGGTCAGGGCTATTATTTGGCCAATCTAATAATGTCATATTTTGGGTCCGAAACCAGGCCTGTGAATGCTTTGAACGATGTTTTGGGTCGTTGTCATGCTGGAAAATCCAAATATTTCCATAGAACATGTGAGCAGATGGAAGTAAATGTCCCTCGAGAATATCTGTGTACCGCTCACTGATCATATTCCCTTCAAATACACAGAGGGGCGTTGCCCCTAACACAGATATGCCACCCCACACGTTAAATTTCGGACTGTACTTTGGGCGCTAATATACAGGTTTTTCAGTTTGTTTGGTCCAGAATTTCAGTGTATTAGGAAACAGCTACACAGAACTTTCATCTGAGAAAATCACATTCTCCCAATAAATTTCAATGCTGTATGCACCAGTATACCCTTGTGTACATGGTACAGATGAGTGCACACATGGATGGGTTATATATCCTTGTATACATGGTACAGATGAGTGCACACATGGCTGGATTATATATCCTTATATACATGGTACAGATGAGTGCACACATGGATGGATTATATATCCTTGTATACATGGTACAGGTGAGTGCACACATGGATGGGTTATATATCCTTGTATACATGGTACAGGTGAGTGCACACATGGACGGGTTATATATCCTTGTATACATGGTACAGATGAGTGCACACATGGACGGGTTATATATCCTTGTATACATGGTACAGATGAGTGCACACATGGATGGGTTATATATCCTTGTATACATGGTACAGGTGAGTGCACACATGGATGGGTTATATATCCTTGTATACATGGTACAGATGAGTGCACACATGGATGGGTTATATATCCTTGTATACATGGTACAGATGAGTGCACACATGGATGGGTTATATATCCTTGTATACATGGTACAGATGAGTGCACATATGGATATATGGTGATGAGTGCACACATGGATGGGTTATATATCCTATATATATGGTACAGATGAGTGCACACATGGATGGGTTATATATCCTTGTATATATGGTACAGATGAGTGCACACATGGATGGGTTATATATCCTTATATACATGGTACAGGTGAGTGCACACATGGATGGGTTATATATCCTTGTATACATGGTACAGGTGAGTGCACACATGGATGGGTTATATATCCTTATATACATGGTACAGGTGAGTGCACACATGGATGGGTTATATATCCTTGTATACATGGTACAGGTGAGTGCACACATGGATGGGTTATATATCCTTATATACATGGTACAGGTGAGTGCACACATGGATGGGTTATATATCCTTGTATACATGGTACAGGTGAGTGCACACATGGATGGGTTATATATCCTTGTATACATGGTACAGGTGAGTGCACACATGGATGGGTTATATATCCTTGTATACATGGTACAGGTGAGTGCACACATGGATGGGTTATATATCCTTGTATACATGGTACAGGTGAGTGCACACATGGATGGGTTATATATCCTTGTATACATGGTACAGGTGAGTGCACACATGGATGGGTTATATATCCTTATATACATGGTACAGATGAGTGCACACATGGATGGGTTATATATCCTTGTATACATGGTACAGGTGAGTGCACACATGGATGGGTTATATATCCTTGTATACATGGTACAGGTGAGTGCACACATGGATGGGTTATATATCCTTGTACACATGGTACAGGTGAGTTCACACATGGATGGGTTATATATCCTTGTATACATGGTACAGATGAGCGCACACATGGACGGGTTATATATCCTTGTATACATGGTACAGATGAGTGCACACATGGATGGGTTATATATCCTTGTATACATGGTACAGGTGAGTGCACACATGGATGGGTTATATATCCTTGTATACATGGTACAGATGAGTGCACACATGGATGGGTTATATATCCTTGTATACATGGTACAGACGAGTGCACACATGGATGGGTTATATATCCTTGTATACATGGTATAGGGGTATGTACACAGTGGACTTTAGATGATATAGGTGTGTGGGATATGTGAATAGCATATATGGGATACAGGGGTGTGCACACATAAATGGGTTACATATCTTTGTACACATTGTAATATTTCCTCCTATACATGGTATAGGTGTGTGCACATACTGACAGGTAATATTTCCTCATACATAATATAGGTGTGTGCACATATCGACAGGTAATATTTCCTTATATACATGGTATAGGTGTGTGCACAGATCAATGGAATATTTCCTTGTATAGGTGTTAGCATACACACATGGCATTGGTGTGTACATCCAATGCAAAATATAATGTTCAGTTGGCAAACAAATCAGGAATAGATGATATCTACTATGTGTCATATTTTCTCCAACAGCTGACTAAATATTCTAAAGGTTATGTGAATAAGTGAAGTGTCAAACAAATAACTGATACAAAATGATAGATGCAACTAAAAACACATTGGGGCAGGCAGAGGAGATACTTCTACATCATGGCAGAGGGGCAGATACTTTGTTCCACATCATGGCGGAGGGGCAGATACTTTGTTCCACATCATGGCGGAGGGGCAGATACTTTGTTCCACATCATGGCAGAGGGGCAGATACTTTGTTCCACATCATGGCAGAGGGGCAGATAGTTTGTTCCACATCATGGCAGAGGGGCAGATAGTTTGTTCCACATCATGGCAGAAGGGCAGATACTTTGTTCCACATCCTGTTAGAGGGGCAGATACTTTGTTCTACATCATGGCAGTGGGGTAGATACTTTGTTCTACATCATGGCAGGCAGGGCAGATACTTTGTTCCACATCAAGACAGAGGGGCAGATGCTTTGTTCCTACATCATGGCAGAGGGGCAGATACTTTGTTCCACATCATGGCAGAGAGGGCAGATACTTTGTTCCACATCATGGCAGAGGGGGCAGATACTTTGTTCCACATCATGGCAGATGCTGTTCCACATCATGGCATGGAGGGGCAGATACTTTGTTCTACATCATGGCAGAGGGGCAGATAGTTTGTTCCACATCATGGCAGAGGGGCAGATACTTAGTTCCACATCCTGTTAGAGGGGCAGATACTTTGTTCTACATCATGGCAGTGGGGCAGATACTTTGTTCCACATCATGGCAGAGGGGCAGATACTTTGTTCCACATCATGGCGGAGGGGCAGATACTTTGTTCCACATCATGGCAGGCAGGGTAGATACTTAGTTCCACATCAAGACAGAGGGGCAGATACTTTGTTCCACATCATGACAGAGGGGCAGATACTTAGTTCTACATCAGGGACAGAGGGGCAGATACTTAGTTCCACATCAATGACAGAGGGGCAGATACTTAGTTCCACATCAATGGCAGAGGGGGCAGATACTTAGTTCCACATCAAGGACAGAGGGGCAGATACTTAGTTCCACATCAGGGACAGAGGGGCAGATACTTAGTTCCACATCAGGGACAGAGGGGCAGATACTTAGTTCCACATCAAGGACAGAGGGGCAGATACTTTGTTCTACATCAGGGACAGAAGGGCAAATACTTTGTTCCACATCAAGGACAGAGGGCCAGATACTTAGTTCCACATCAAGGACAGAGGGACAGATCCTTAGTTCCACAGCAGGGGCCGATACTTTGTTCCACATTGAGCAGATGTGGCAGATACTTAGTTCCACATCAGGGTAGGAAGGCACTCCTGTTGTACCTTGGGTTATCTACTGTCTTCATTCCCTCTAACCCATACACAATTATCTGCTAAATATACCCACAAAGCTATTAATGGCTATTAATGGCTCGACCTGGATTCCTCTAGATAAGGTGGCATACCTCAGGTCACAGCTTGCTACAGCAAGAACACCCTGCATCAACAGAAACTCTATCTATCCCACTTTTCCACTATGATACTGCCGGTTCTCTGCCTGGTTAACCTGACAGCACAACAGATTCAGTGCTTGGTAGTCTGATCCCACAATACTGAACACTTAATGAAATGTAAATCACTTCTGTTGCTTGCTTTGCCCACCCATCCATATCCAGCCACACCACACCCACTCACCACCCCACTCATCATCTCCTAGTCTGTCTCACAGTCCCTGAACCACGTTATTACTCCCACTGCCTAGCCCTCCCTCCATTTCCCAAGCCCTAAATGAAGCAAGTCTAGATTTCCTCAGGATCCCATCTCACTAGGGATCCTTTTCAGTTCCATGGAATAATTTGTTACTATCAAAATCATATACATTCAGCCACTAGCGTAGTCTAACCATCTCCCATCCAGACTCACTACCTCCAGCCTCCATCACTGCCCCTCCCACCATCACCCTGACCTGCCCCTCCCACCATCACCCTGACCTGCCCTCCTACCATCACCCTGACCTGCCCCTCCCACCATCACCCTGACCTGCCCTCCCTTCCCACCATCGCCTGTGACCTGCTCCTCCCACCATCGCCTCTCTGACCTGCCCCTCCCACCATCAGCCTCTGACCTGCCGTCTCTCCCACAATCGCCTCTGACCTGCCCTGCCCTTCTCCCACC